AATAAAATACAGCAGTAGTCTATATAAAATCTATGGGCAGATAATGCATCAATCAATAAATGGAATGCTTTGAAAATGTGTTTTAAATTGAATCCTTGTGTTTTGGGGGAGTGGCTTTGGAGGGAGTCCTGGAGGGAGGGGTGGGATTTTTTCAGTGGATGCTTTCAAAATCTAGCTGTCTCTTGCTAGTTTCTCCACTGTTTCCTACCCTAGCATTAACATAGCGCTATTTAAACAGTGTCAGTGGTGGTGACTTTGTACCTTGTTCATCTCCACAGACGACAGGCTGAAGCTGTACAGCTGCCCTCTGTCTGTGCTGATGGCCACAGTCTCCTCGGCTGGACTGATGCACATGGTGTCAATCTGCTGACACTCAGCCAGGGTCGGCTCAGTGCTGTATGGGTCTGGAGGGATCTGACAGAACAGAATAAACATATGATCACTTTGAAAACATACACAGAGTGCAGTATGCACTGTTACCTGCATTAACATTTACCCGTATCTCCCTGCTTCTTCTGTAACTGTCCTCCTCGTTCTTCTCAAAAAGACAAACCGTGCCAGACCCTAAAGAGCATGCAAAGCCCTTGGAGTAGGACAGAATGGCTGTGATGCGGGGCGCATTGGGACCTTCATTTATGTCAGCGTCTCTGATCTTCGTCATCTCCACTTGTCTGTGAAGTAAATGAATGAAATTCATGGGGATTCAGCGAAAACATCTCTTGGCTATGAAGTCTCAAGTCAAGTCTCAAGTCAAGTCTTCGTCCTAAACCTTTAGTTTTGAAGTCTAAACCATCGACATATAAAAGACGGGCGACATGACAGCCCCCCAAAAGTGAAGCCAAAACACCCTGAACGCCCTTTGGTGGCTGACTGCAGTACAGATCATATAGCTCATATTAGTAGATGGACGTATGTTCAAGCTTGGTTTTAATTAGCTATCTGATGCTTTAAAAACTGGGTTTAGATAGATAGATAGATAGATAGATAGATAGATAGATAGATAGAAATACTTTAT